CACACACACACACACACACACACACACAGACACACACACACACACACACACACACACACACCACACACACACACACACAGACACACACACACACACACACACACACACACACACACACACACACACACACGCAGACACACACATGCAGACACACACACATACACACACGCACACATACACACACACACACATGCAGACACACACATACACACACACAGAGACACACACACACAGAGACACACGCACACACAGAGACACACACACACACACACACACACACACACACACACAGAGACACACACACACACAGAGACACACGCACACACAGAGATACACACATACACACACACACACAGAGACACACACACACACACACAGAGACACACACACACACACACACACACACACACACACACACACACACACACACAAGATATTTAGATCTCCATGTTCCTTTAACTGTTTAAAAAATGTTATATTCACCCAAAAAACAACAGATGAACATGTTTTATAAGTTTCTCTGAGTCTCTCTTCTCTTTCCTCTCTGTGCTAAGTCCCTCCCCCTTCAGAGCACACTCGTTGCGCGTCGCACTAATGAAACTCCTGCACAAACATCAGGTTTGTCCAGTCGTTGTGTTCAGTTTTGTGTTGTGTTTTTATGGAGAGTTGTCGTGTGGAGCATGTGGGGGGGGGGGGGGGCGGAGCCTCGTACAGACTCGTACTGCAGCGAAATGTGAGGAGGGTTTGAATAGGGCCGGGGAGAGATCACTAGATGACTCAAACATGCATGGAGGAGTCTAAATTTTCCACACCTGTCCCTCCTCACCTGTCCCTCCTCACCTGTCTGCCATCACCTGTCTGTCCCTCCTCACCTGTCCTCACCTGTCTGTCCGTCCTCACCTGTCCTCACCTGTCTGTCCGTCCTCACCTGTCCTCACCTGTCTGTCCGTCCTCACCTGTCCTCACCTGTCTGTCCGTCCTCACCTGTCCTCACCTGTCTGTCCGTCCTCACCTGTCTGTCCCTCCTCACCTGTCTGTCTCCTCACCTGTCTGTCTGTCCTCACCTGTCTGTCCATCCTCACCTGTCTGTCCCTCCTCACCTGTCCTCACCTGTCTGTCCGTCCTCACCTGTCCTCACCTGTCTGTCCGTCCTCACCTGTCCTCACCTGTCTGTCCGTCCTCACCTGTCTGTCCCTCCTCACCTGTCCTCACCTGTCTGTCTGTCTGTCCGTCCTCACCTGTCTGTCCCTCCTCCCTGTCCTCACCTGTCTGTCCTGTCCTCACCTGTCTGTCCATCCTCACCTGTCTGTCCCTCCTCACCTGTCCTCACCTGTCTGTCCTCCTCACCTGTCCTCACCTGTCTGTCTCACCTGTCTGTCCCTGTCCTCACCTGTCTGTCCTCCTCACCTGTCCTCACCTGTCTGTCCGTCCTCACCTGTCCTCACCTGTCTGTCCGTCCTCACCTGTCCTGTCACCTGTCTGTCCGTCCTCACCTGTCCTCACCTGTCTGTCTGTCTCCTCACCTGTCCTCACCTGTCTGTCCGTCCTCACCTGTCTGTCCCCTCCTCACCTGTCCTGTCCCCGTCCTCACCTGTCTGTCCCTCCTCACCTGTCCTCACCTGTCTGTCTGTCCTCACCTGTCTGTCCATCCTCACCTCTGTCCTCACCTGTCCCTGTCCTCTCACCTGTCTGTCCACCTGTCCTCACCTGTCTGTCCTCCTCACCTGTCCTCACCTGTCTGTCACCTGTCTCCCTCACCTGTCTGTCCTCCTCACCTGTCCTCACCTGTCTGTCTGTCCTCACCTGTCCTCCTCACCTGTCTGTCCCTCACCTGTCCTCACCTCTGTCTCCTCACCTGTCTGTCCATCCTCACCTGTCTGTCCCTCCTCACCTGTCCTCACCTGTCTGTCCCTCCTCACCTCCTCACCTGTCTGTCTGTCCTCACCTGTCTGTCCACCTCACCTGTCTGTCCGTCCTCACCTGTCTGTCCCTCCTCACCTGTCCTCACCTGTCTGTCCGTCCTCACCTGTCCTCACCTGTCTGTCCGTCCTCACCTGTCCCACCTGTCTGTCCGTCCTCACCTGTCTGTCCCTCACCTGTCTGTCCTCCTCACCTGTCCTCACCTGTCTGTCCGTCCTCACCTGTCTGTCCCTCCTCACCTCCTCACCTGTCTGTCTGTCCTCACCTGTCTGTCCATCCTCCCTGTCTGTCCCTCCTCACCTGTCTCACCTGTCTGTCCCTCCTCACCTGTCCTCACCTGTCTGTCCGTCCTCACCTGTCTGTCCCCCTCACCTGTCCTGTCACCTGTCCCCTGTCTGTCCTCCTCACCTGTCTGTCCCTCCTCACGTCTGTCCTCACCTGTCCTGTCTGTCTGTCACCTGTCTGTCTCCTCACCTGTCTGTCCGTCCTCACCTGTCTGTCCCTCCTCACCTGTCCTCACCTGTCTGTCCGTCCTCACCTGTCCTCACCTGTCTGTCCGTCTCACCTGTCCTCACCTGTCTGTCCTCCTCACCTGTCTGTCCCTCCTCACCTGTCTGTCTGTCCCTCCTCACCTCTGTCTCCTCACCTGTCTGTCCCTCCTCACCTGTCCTCACCTGTCTGTCCCTGTCTGTCCATCCTCACCTGTCTGTCCCTCCTCACCTGTCCTCACCTGTCTGTCCCTCCTCACCTGTCTGTCCATCCTCACCTGTCTGTCTGTCCTCACCTGTCTGTCCCTCCTCACCTGTCTGTCCCTCCTCACCTGTCCTCACCTGTCTGTCCATCCTCACCTGTCTGTCCCTCCTCACCTGTCTGTCCGTCCTCACCTGTCCCCTCACCTGTCTGTCTGTCCTCACCTGTCTGTCCCTCCTCACCTGTCTGTCTGTCCTCACCTGTCTGTCTGTCGTCTGTCCGTCACCTGTCTGTCTGTCTCACCTGTCTGTCTGTCCTCACCTGTCTGTCCCGTCCTCACCTGTCTGTCGTCTCACCTGTCTGTCCCTCCTCACCTGTCCTCACCTGTCTGTCCATCCTCACCTGTCTGTCCCTCCTCACCTGTCCTCACCTGTCTGTCCCTCCTCACCTGAAATGGAATGGAATAATGTAAAGCCTGGCTCCATATTCACTCCTGTAACCGTGAACATGATGAGCCAGGCCAGAGCTCGGAGCCCATGGAACTCGTAGCCCGGACGGCTGTGGATCTGTCCATCTTGTTGAACAGTAGCTAATGTTTATTAAACAAATATATGAAATAAATGCAATGTGCGATTTGCTTCATTTAGTTTTATTTTAATAATTCATGTCATGATGGCCAGAAAATGGTCCTAGTGAAGGTCCAGGGTCCAGGTCCACGGTTCATCACTGCCAAATACAAAGGTGACTGTAGAAATGCACACCAGAAACTAAAGATTTAGCCTGTACCGACATGTGTCAGTGTAGCAGCCAATGCCAGAATGATGATGATTCCCCAAGCCGTGTTGTTGCATAGACTGTATAAAAGAAGAGGACTAAGCAAGTGTGACCCACAGAGTTCAGCGCTGCTCAAATGAAGCTTGAGATGTTCACTGTTACAGGAGCAAATCTGGAGCCAGACACTATACTATAAATAGGATTCTTTTGATGGACAAACTAGCAAAAAAAACAAAAAAACAAATTCAGGATCATGTAGAGCAGGTTCATATAAACATTTTAAGACCAAAATGTCGAGGTTCACAGCAGCAGGTACAGAGAGAGGAGCCACAAGATCCTAACGCAAGTCAGAGCCAGAGTCAGAAGGAGCTGGAAGAGCCTCCTGGAGAACTTCCTATTTGGCACATGATGGCTACAGCATTAGATCTGTCCACTAATATATCCAGTCTATGGTTGTATGAAAGTGATGATGATAATGATGATGTATAGAAAAGATCTAATAAAAAGGTTGCATAATCATATTGTGTCTAAATGTGTGTGTTGACATCCAACATACACATTTTATGTTAGCTACTTTTAAACTCTTTGAGTTATCTGACCAACTGCATGTGATGTTTATAGTTTGTTTTACCCATATTGTTGAAGTATTTCAACAGGATAATTTAAAAAACATGTTTTTTGGAGGAACATGGAGTATTACATGCAAATATTAGAAATGAAAATGCAAGAAAACAACCAAACCGGGTCATTTTTTACCCACTTATGCATCTAAGGGTTAATGTGGGTAGGTCTTACAGCTTTGAAACTAGCACCATTTGATTTCCTGACCCTGAAAATGTGGGTTTAACAGTTAAAATCAACATTTCAACTTATTCAGAGGCTGAGATATTCCAAAAAGAGTTTTTTGGCAGCCATTTAAAAAAAAAAAAATCCAATATGGCCACCATAAAGACATGTGGGCAAATGCAAACATTGATTTTCTGACTCCATATACTATAACCTTTCCAAAAATATATAGGTTAGCAAATCCCCCAAAAATTCCCTCAAAAGTATATAAGGAACCGGACTACCATGGGCAGTTAGGGACAACGATCTGACCCAGAGCTCTGTATTAGAATTGTATTGAATAGGGAATAAATTATTTTTGATTTTAATTGATCGATTCCAGCGGTTATTTTTTAGAGAACACGCTTAACGGTTTTTGAAGATACCTAATAATACAAAACCTGGTCAAACCTCCAGGGACCAGGTAAAAATAAAGATTGTGTAAATGATGGAACCTGGCTCTCTCCCCCTCGACCTGTGTGACTCTATTTCCCCAAACTAGATTTCAGGTGGCGTTGTTGCAATAATTAACTGACCATAAAATTTATAACGTTTCAAACTGTTGACCCCTCGTTTGCCGCCACATCAGGTTTTATAGTTTCTATAACCCATCCCCTTTTTGCAATCTGATCACTTATTGTCCAAGATTTTAAAAGTTTTCCAGATGTTACTTCTGTATTTATCATACATTAGTCACACAGTTCTTGAAATGTGGGGCCCCCTGAACCTTATGCACCTATGAGGCTCACAGGTCTCAAATAATATCACAATACAAATATAATGAAGTGATGTAAGAACACACATGTACAACAGTTTATTTACAAATAAGTATAAAAATAGAACATTGCACATTTTTGAGAATAGAAAAAGTAGACTTATTTTTTGTTTTGTCATGACTAAATAAAAGGCAAAGTTATGGACTTCCAAAGGTGTCCATCGTGTCTCGGGGCGTCTGTCCCTCTGTCTCCATTCAGGTCTCTGAGTCATTTCTTTATCCTGCACAAAACACAAACACAAACACATGCATTTTTTTCTATATTGAACAAATTACAACAGATTGGTTTAGTCCTGGTTTAGACCTGGTTTAGTCCTGGTTTAGACCTGGTTTAGCCCTGGTTTAGACCTGGTTTAGTCCTGGTTTAGACCTGGTTTAGCCCTGGTTTAGACCTGGTTTAGCCCTGGTTTAGTCCTGGTTTAGACCTGGTTTAGACCTGGTTTCGTCCTGGTTTAGACCTGGTTTAGACCTGGTTTCGTCCTGGTTTAGACCTGGTTTGCACCTGGTTTAGACCTGGTTTAGCCCTGGTTTAGACCTGGTTTAGTCCTGGTTTAGACCTGGTTTAGACCTGGTTTAGCCCTGGTTTAGACCTGGTTTAGCCCTGGTTTAGACCTGGTTTAGACCTGGTTTAGCCCTGGTTTAGACCTGGTTTAGACCTGGTTTAGCCCTGGTTTAGACCTGGTTTAGCCCTGGTTTAGCCCTGGTTTAGACCTGGTTTAGACCTGGTTTAGTCCTGGTTTAGACCTGGTTTAGACCTGGTTTAGACCTGGTTTAAACCTGGTTTAGCCCTGGTTTAGCCCTGGTTTAGCTCTGCTTTTGTTCTGGTTTAGCCCTGGTTTAGCCCTGGTTTAGACCTGGTTTAGACCTGGTTTAGTCCTGGTTTAGACCTGGTTTAGACCTGGTTTAGTCCTGGTTTAGACCTGGTTTAATCCTGGTCCCCTGTTGATGTTCAGTGATGTGTTAAAAGTATGAATGAAGTTGGAAATTTGCTGTTGTAAAATGTGGGTTTTTTCGGAAGGTTCCATGCGTGTCCTTAGAAAGAAGCACGAGAGATCCGAGAGAACAAGCCACTTTATTTCGTCATTTTCCATTGAGAGGATTCAAGTTGATTACCATGTACAACTGTCACCCCGGAACGACGCCTCTACTCTCCAACTCAAAATCAGGGGTAGCTTTATACTACATCTTGACAAAACATTAACTTGTTGAGTTAGCATATACAGCAAGAAAATGAACAATACTGCTGACCCAGTACACCTTATCATGGGTGGGACCATGCCACGGGGACCACATATGTCAGTTTTGCTGCTCCTTAGCACTCAAAGTCCAGAAAAACATATTCTTTATGCAAGAAAAGCATGTTATGTAAACCTATAGATATCACAGTGTGTTTTTCCACCCTGCTGTCATTCTAAAGTCCATAATGTTAGGTGAATTAGCATGATCAGCATATAATTTCCCACAAAAAATTGTTGAATGCACTTAAAAAAATATATATATATTATTAAAAATCCAATATTAAAAATTATATATTATCAGTTGTTATTGAAACTCAACATTGCCAGGAACACAAAAGATGCATTTACGTCTCTAAGGGCACACAGGCTCACATTCACCCAATTTGAAACCCCCCGCTGTGGACTCCTTACCTCATCTAGACATCTTCAGTCAAGGGAGCTTCCGTCTTTGGAGGAGCTGCGACGCCATTTTGTGCTTCAAGTTGTCTTCTAATTATCCTGGCTCTTGCATTCCAATATTGTGTTCTTGAATTTGGATATCCCGACCTTCCATCATAATTAAATCTTCCTGGCTCTCCATCGAAACAAGGCTTGGACGAATTCGGATTTCCTGTCCATCCATCATGATAAAATCTTCTTAACCTTCCCTCATAATTAAATCTTCCTGGGTTTCCATCCAAACAAGGCTTGAAAGAGTTTGGATTTCCTGGCCATCCATCATAATGCTCTCTTCCATAATTAAATCTTTCATTTTGGTTTTGGAAAACACCTCTAACTTCGTAACTTTCCCTTGGCTTGCATGTTTCAAACCGACCATCGTAACTTGGATTTTTTTCTGCGTATTGTCCAACGACGATAAAACTCTTCTCTCGCTGAGAATTTGGCGACTCAGATAGTTCTCTGACACAAACGTACAGTCCCACATGCATATATGCTGTGATATATACTGTAAGCTCCCATTTATTATTTTGATCCTTGAACGAGAGGATTTGAAAAGACTTGCTTTTCAGTGACTGCGTAACGTACCCCCATTCTCGGAAAACCAGGTAGGAGTTAGCGCTACCGGTTAAAAATCTTGTCAGTCTTTGCAGTTCTTTGCTTTTTTGCGTGTTACTGGGCAGAGATTTTATCCATAACTCAAACCACGAACAGACGCTTTCCTCTTTTGTATTTTGGTTAATTCTTTGACGATTTCTGTCAAACACGTGCATCCATATACCTGAATTTGCAGGATTATTAACTTCACCAGATTGTCCTTCTTTCAGTGGCTTTTCTTCTTGGCTTAAAGTTGGAGGAGCTTCAGCGTTGGCATTTTGGGATTCTCTTCGCATTCTCGTTTGTAACCGGGGATCTTTAGCTTTTGCAACTTTTGACTTTGGATCTGGAAGTTGGGTTTCTTGTCTCGTAACCGTGCTTGTCTCTGTCCTGGTGCGATTTCCATCTTTTTGGCGATTTCTGGATGCCGATTCTGTATTCCGTGGTCTCACCGTATTCTTGAAATCATCTCGAGATCTTCGCGATAGGCGTCTTTCTCTTACATTTCTATCAGGCGTTCTTCTACGAGATGAGACATTTATTTTGCCGTCTTCTGTTTTGGTGGACCTCTCATTCACCCTTTCATAACTTCTTCTTCGCTTTGCAGTGTTATCTGGATACTTGTCCCGATCTCGCTTCAAATCTTTGCTAGAATCGCCATCACGCCGGTCTCCACGTCTTTTATTTGTCGTTCTTTCATGACATCGAGTAGGGGTCCGTCTTTTTGAATCCCTCTGAGAAGATCTTGACTGTATGCGATCAGTTTTAGATACCCTTTTCGACTCTTGAACTATTTCTGAAGGTTGTGTTGGTTTGTGAGCTTCGCCATAACCTTTTCTAGTACCGCTTTTTCTTTCTTGGTTTGAAATCTTTGTTATCTCTGCCTCGGTTGATGCTTGACTTTCCGAATTTCTTGTTTCATTTTGAGTTTTTGAACATCGTTTTTCTGTAAACTTTTGATTGCGTAAATTGTTGGTTTCTTGGGGTGATTCCGAAGACGATGTACTTGATTGGGATGAATTGGCGTCTTCCTTGGCGTGACACATACTGGAGTTAAAAGAGCGGCTGAAAATACCTGACTGGGAAATCTTATCTTCTTTTATTGAGTTTTCAATATGTTTACACATCTCAATATATTCTGGATTTGTAAACTCTATACTGGCGTGATATGCGTTTGGATCCAGACATCCATGCCGTTTTTTTCGATGTTTTTTACGATAGACTACAATCTTAGTGCCATTTTCCATTTTAAAAAAGTATTGCTTCAGCTTTTTTCTCCTAAAATCTCCATTTCTTGAAACTTTAAAATTAGGTTTGGATAGTCCTTCTAGATCTAGAGGTATCTTGTTTTTGCGTTCATTCCTTTCACCTTGGCTTTGCTTGTATTTTCTATAATCTTCAAGAGAAATTCGTCTTTTGGAGATCGTTCCATTCTTGTAATCATTTGAGATCACGTTTCCTGATCTTTCTACAGTTTTTGGGTTTATTGAAAGTGCAAAGTTGTCTTGGACAGGGTTTTGAGACCTTGGATCTTCAAGGTGAAACATCTCTAGATCTTTTGAATGTTGGGGTAGTTCTTGATGTAGATGTATCTTGCTGTTTTCATTTTGTTGAATCATTTCACTTTTACTTTTGTTGTCTTGAGTCCGAGGCTTCTTTTTATAATCTTCGAGAGAAATTCGTCTTTTGGAGATTGTTCCATTCTTGTAATCATTTGAGATCATATTTCCTGATCTTTCTACAGTTTTTGGGTTTATTGAAAGTGCAAAGTTGTCTTGGGCAGGGTTTTGAGACCTTACATCTTTAAGATGAAACATCTCTAGGTCTTTTGAACACTGGGGTACGTCTTGATGTAGAGGTATCTTGCCTTTTTCATTTTGTTGAATCATTTCACTTTTACTTTTGTTGTGTTGAGTTCGCCTCTTTTTATAATAGTCAAGAGAATTTAGTTTTTTGGTGTTTGTTCCTTTCTTGTAATCCTTGCTTGAACTTGTGTTTGCTGATCTTTCTACACTTTTTGGGTTTATTGAAAGTGCAAAGTTGTCTTGGGCAGGGTTTTGAGACCTTGGATCTTCAAGGTGAAACATCTCTAGATCTTTTGAATGTTGGGGTAGTTCTTGATGTAGATGTATCTTGCTGTTTTCATTTTGTTGAATCATTTCACTTTTACTTTTGTTGTCTTGAGTCCGAGGCTTCTTTTTATAATCTTCGAGAGAAATTCGTCTTTTGGAGATTGTTCCATTCTTGTAATCATTTGAGATCATATTTCCTTTATTGCAATCCTTGCTTGAGTTTGCATTTCCAGATCTTTCTACACTTTTTGACTTTACTGAAAGTGCAAAGTTGTCTTGGACAGGGTTTTGAGACCTTGGATCTTCAAGCTGAAACATCTCTAGATCTTTTGAACATTGGGGTAGGTCTTGATGCAGATGTATCTTGCAGTTTTCATTTTCTTGAATCACTTCTTTGCTTTCTTTGTCTTGAGTCCGATGCTTCTTTTTATAATCCTTAACAGAAATTTGCTTTTTAGAGTTCATTCCTTTCTTGTAATCCTTGTTTGGGATCACATTTGCTGATGTTTTCGGCTTTGCTTTTTGGTAAAGCATCTCCAGATCTTTTGAACATTGGGGTACGTCTTGAAGCAGCATTGTTTCTTGATGTTTCTTTTCAAAGTTTTTGAGAGAAATAGCATTTTTTGTGTTCATTCCTGTTTTGTAATCCTCATCATTACTGCTTCCTCTGTTGTAATACATTTTTGAACTTCCCTTTGATGAGCTTTGGGTTTTTGTTAAGTTATACCTTTTTTTCTGATTATACTGCTGTGAATCTTTACTTTTAGAGTGAGTTTTCATTTTTGGAACATGACTAGCAGCCATAATTTTTAGCAGTTTCTTCTTTCTTTCCATTTTTGAGCAACTTTTTAGTTTTAAAAAACTCTTTGTCCATCTGAAGCCTTTGTGTATTGACTTTCCAGCTTTCCTTGCGTATAGATGCTTGCGTACGTCTTCTGGAACTGAACTCCCTCTCATCTGAAGTGTCCCAAGTTTTTTTTTAGCTTGCGAAACCTCCAAACGAACAGCTGATTTCTGGTCTTGACCTTTGTTTTTTCGATCTTTAATCATTTTGCTTTTACTACATTGTTGTTCTTGAGTCCTTCGCTTCTTAGCCACCACTTGATGGTCAAAATCTGTAGCTTGTCTTTTCAATTTTTTCGTTGTTTCTTCATCATCGCTAGCTGTGTCACTGCTTACATGATAAGTTTCATCCAGGTTGTAGCTCCTTGACACTTGGCTTTCAGTGGAAGTGTTTGGAGTGTTTTCCTTTCTTTCCATTTCAGGTTGACTTTCTTGTTTTGAGATCTCCATTGTCTTCCTTACGTCTTTTTGTTTTGACTTAACATTTCTTGCATGTACATACTTGGCCAAATTTTCCATAAAGCATTCACGGATTTTAAGTGTCCTCTGTCTTTTTGGATCTTGGGGAAGATTATTGTTCTCTCTTTTCCTTCCTTGTTCTTGACTGTTCTTTTTGGCAGTTTGATTAGGAACTTGTGGTCTAGGGATCCAATGTTTCTTTTTATAATTTTTGTTGTACTGCCTTGGATCATTACTTTTAGAGTGAGTTTTCATTTTTCGAACATTACTAGCGGTCATCTTTTTAAATTGTTTTCTCTTTCTTTCCATTTTTGAGCACCTCTTCAGTTTAAAAAAACTTTTTGTCCACCTGAAGCCTTGGTGTATTGACTTTACAGCTTTTCTTGCGTCTGGATGCTTGTGTACATCTTCTGGAACTGAACTCACCCTCATCTGAAGTGTTCCAAGTTTTTTTTTAGCTTGCAAATACTCCAAACAAAACCCTGATTTCTGGCCTTGATCTTCGTTTTTTCTATCTCTGTTCATTTTGCTTTTATGACATTGTTGTTCTTGCATTCTTCGCTTCGTAGCAACCCCTCGGTGCTCAAATTCCGTAGCTTGTCTTTTCAGTTTCTCTTTAAAGTCCGTTTTCATTGTGTCATATTTTGGGCTTGCAGAGACTTGCGTTTTATAAAAATGTCTTGTTCTGTAAATATTTTCCACAGACTCTTCTTGCTCTCGGTACACCGTCAGTGATTCTGAACTATTGACAGATTTCCCATTCCTTAATACAAGCCTGCGTTCACTGTTTATCTCCAAATTCCAGTCTCTCCAGTCTTCGTGTTGCTTTATCAGAAGCTCCACCATTTTGGAGCCAAAACTTGACTCAGGTTGCGTGGTCGTACTAGTTTTATTAGCTTTTCCCAATGCATCCGTAAATATCCCTCCATTCTCGAGACAAAACTCAATATTGACTAATTCTACTCTTAAATCTTTGTAGATTTTCATTCCGTCATTTCGACATAGGTAATCTTGTTTAAGCTTTTCGGTTATTTCTTTTTGTTGCTCTGGTGATGCTTCGACGGTCGGCTCATGGGTGTTTGACTGACTGACTTTCTGAATTATGGCAGCTGGTGCTTCTTTTGCTTTCACCATTTGCTCGCTTACAATTTGCAATTTTTGAAACTCATCTGTGCAGTCTATCATGTTTTTCTTGTCTTCTTGATTGTCTTGCCCTGTGTTCTTCGCTTCGATTTGAGAACTAGGACTGTCTTCTGCATCAGTTTCATCCATTCGCCTTTGCAATATTGATTCTGGTGATGTTTTAGATTGCTTATCACCATAGGAACATGATGTATTTAGTGATTCATCTTCTTTTTCTTGACCTTTAGACATATCCGCTTTGTTTTGAGGTATTTCGGTGACTTCTTTGTCGCTTATGTCCACCACTCCTTCTGCACAATCTACATTATTTCTTGGTCTCTTTAGCTTCAGCTTTCTTGTGAGCTGTTTACTCACTGCCTTTTGGATACGTGAACAGTCTTTTGTGTACACTCTTGGTCCAATTTGGTCTTTTCCTCCTCGCGTTATTGATTCTACCAATGTTTTACAATGCATATCACCGTCGGAATTTGACGTATTTAGCAATTCATCCTCTTTTTGTTGACCTTTGGACACATTTGCTTTGTTTTGACGTCGTTCAGTGACTTCCCCTTTCGGCGTTTCTTCATAACCAATGTGCACCACTTCTTCTGACTGACCTTTTAGCATGTTTACTTTGCTCTGGGTTGTTTCCATGACTTCTTCTGTACAGTCTTCATAACTTCTTGCTCTTTTCAGCTTTCTTGTTAGCTGTTCACTCACTGCTTTTTGGATTCTCGGCTTGGTTCCCTTTTCGTTGGCAGTCTCACATTTAGCTGAGCCTCTTGTGTCATCGTCTTGGACCAAACTTTGCTCAAATTGATATACAGTCTCTTTGTTAAGGACTTGCTCCGTTGCTCTAATGTTGTTTGGAGTGAAGTCGGCCATCTGTCCAGTTTCCTTACGTTGAGGACTTTGGAAATCGGCAGTCCCATTTGAGAGCTCTTGCGAAGTTAGTTCAGGGTTAGATACGTGTGCGAAATGGAGTAGTATACAAGGTTCATCCTCATTCTCATTCCCACTTCCTTTATTTTTTTCCGTATGACTTTTGGCATTCGAGGCCTTATTTGGCGTCGCAAACATACCAGCTAGGATTGCTTTCTTGAAGTCTTCCATGGTTTCAAATTCAAGCAGATTGCCCCTGGAAGCGTGCATGAGTGGCGACGTGTCTGTATTCTTCACCTTACTTGGTTCCTCTTTGTTGTGGACAGTTTCTTGCTGAGTCATTTCCACACGGGTAGCCAAGGGTTGCGTTGTGGATTGCAATATATCCGCTTTGTTGTTTCTACCTTCAGCATTTTCAACTTGATTGTGATCTTCTACATTTTCTACTTTGACCACTACGTATGTTTTTTCAATCTCCTTTTCCGTTGGCTTGTTTATTTGAGGCTTTTGAGAAGTTTTACATGTCGTGACAGTTTCTTGCTGAGTCATTTCCACATGAGTACCTAACGTTGCGAAGTCTGGTTGCGTTGTTGAGTGCATTATATCCGCTTTGTTGTTTCTACCTTCAGCTTTTTCAACTTGATTGTGATCTTCTACATTTTCTACTTTGACCACTACGTATGTTTTTTCAATCTCCTTTTCCGTTAGCTTGTTTATTTGAGGCTTTTGAGAAGTTTTACATGTCATGACAGTTTCTTGCTGAGTCATTTCCACACCGGTAGCCAAGGGTTGCGTTGTGGATTGCAATATATCCGCTTTGTTGTTTCTACCTTCAGCATTTTCAACTTGATTGTGATCTTCTACATTTTCTACTTTGACCACTACGTATGTTTTTTCAATCTCCTTTTCCGTTAGCTTGTTTATTTGAGGCTTTTGAGAAGTTTTACATGTCATGACAGTTTCTTGCTGAGTCATTTCCACAACTTGATCGTGTTTTTCTAGATTTTCTAGTTTGACTATTATTGGTGTCTTTTCCATCTTCTTTTCCGATGGCTTGTTTATTTGCGGAGACTTATCTTGGGAAGTTTTATATGTCAGTACTGTTTCTTGCCGAGTCATTTTCACATGAGTACCTAACGTTGCGAAGTCTGGTTGCGTTGTTGGGTGCATAATATCCGCTTTGTTGTTTCTACCTTCAGCATTTTCAACTTGATTGTGATCTTCTACATTTTCTACTTTGACCACTACGTATGTTTTTTCAATCTCCTTTTCCGTTAGCTTGTTTATTTGAGGCTTTTGAGAAGTTTTACATGTCATGACAGTTTCTTGCTGAGTCATTTCCACAACTTGATCGTGTTTTTCTAGATTTTCTAGTTTGACTATTATTGGTGTCTTTTCCATCTTCTTTTCCGATGGCTTGTTTATTTGCGGAGACTTATCTTGGGAAGTTTTATATGTCAGTACTGTTTCTTGCCGAGTCATTTCCACATGAGTACCTAGCGTTGCGAAGTCTGGTTGCGTTGTTGGGTGCATTATATCCGCTTTGTTGTTTCTACCTTCAGCTTTTTCAACTTGATTGTGATCTTCTACATCTTCTACTTTGACCACTATGTATGTTTTTTCAATCTCCTTTTCTGTTGGCTTGTTTATTTGAGGCTTTTGAGAAGTTTTACATGTCATGACAGTTTCTTGCTGAGTCATTTCCACACCGGTAGCCAAGGGTTGCGTTGTGGATTGCAATATATCCGCTTTGTTGTTTCTACCTTCAGCATTTTCAACTTGATTGTGATCTTCTACATCTTCTACTTTGACCACTACGTATGTTTTTTCAATCTCCTTTTCCGTTGGCTTGTTTATTTGAGTTTTTTGAGAAGTTTTACATGTCATGACAGTTTCTTGCTGAGTTATTTCCACATGAGTACCTAACATTGCGAAGTCTGGTTGCGTTGTTGGGTGCATTATATCCGCTTTGTTGTTTCTACCTTCAACGTTTTCACCTTGATTGTGATCTTCTACATTTTCTAGTTTGACCATCACGTGTGTCTTTTCAATCTTCGTGTCCACTGGAGACTTATCTTGAGAAGTTTTACACGTCATTGTCGTTGCTTGTTGTGGTGTCTTGACGTCAGTGACTAAAGTTGCGAGCTGCGAATTCTGCGTGGGGTGTTGTATATCAGCTTTGTTTCTTGCCTTTGTCTTTTCAACTGGATTGCATATTTGTGTGGCTACTTCCTTTGCTCTTTTTTTGTTCTTGACATGCTCTGTTGAAGTTGGCAGTGGTTCCGTGCTTGGCATATTGAAGATGCTGTAGGGATAGAGATTTCTAAATTGGTTGCACATCTCCTCTGGCTCAATTTGAGTACAGTTTATTTGCGTCCCCATCTTGTAATCCTTGTTACGCCCTTCTTCTGATGGTTTTGCTTGATCTGTAGACGTTGGCAATGATTCAACGATTACACTATCACTATTGAAGACGCTATAGGGGTACAAAAGGCCGCTTTCCTGGTTGCTTGCATGTTGGCCGTGAATTTCTTTCGTTGCGGATTTGCACGTCAAGTCAACAGGTTCTGTTTGTAAACTTACTTGCTCTGGCGCTGTTTGAAGGTTGACAAATTCACTGTAACAGAGGTCAGGCGGCACACAATTGTCTAGGTTTTGGTTGGCTAGGGTTCGTGTTTCCATCTGATCTGTCCAGTTCATTGCGTTTGGAATCTGTACTTGTTGTTTATGAATTACAGGCTCAGGATTTGCCATATTACAGCAAAATACGCCTGTTTGGTACCAATTGGTTGACGGTTTTCTGCTGGACATCTCATCCATTTGAGGCATATTATCTTGTCCGACTTTGTACAACCGGTCACAATCACATTCTGGCGGACTGCTTATGTCTGCTGAATTTGCGAGCTTGTGCAGTGTGTTTTGTTTACTCAGCTCACAACAAAAGATGCTGTTGGCGTAGCCGCTGCTCAGTTGGTGGCTTAGATTGGACAACTCAGTTTGATTAACATTTTCTTGCGTGATCTTTAATCGCCATTCAACAGCTCCCTCTGGTGGCAAGGTACGCTCCACTGCGGTTCTAACGGTGGGTGGTTTTGCATGCTGGGAGTATATTGGCATTCTGGCAATATCTTGGTTTGGTGTCCAGATTGCCTCACAGGGCTCCATACAACAATTACTTACTACGTCTACTGCGTTATTTTGTGAATGGTTTGTCAAAGCACAGCAACATGCGCCCTGGGTTTGCAAATTGTGTATGCTGGAGGTCATAATTGGTTTATATTTTGGGCTAGAAAACTCGTGGAATACCCATTTTTGCCCATGGGCACGTCTTTGTTTGTATTTCCGTCGTTTTAGGCTTTTTGCTGGATTTACCAGAGCTAAAATTGGTAGCGGCAGATGCTCTATGGTGTACGATATATCCTCTTTGTTGCTGGCTTTTACCTTTTCAACTCGATTTGCCGTTTCCTTTTCTTGCGGCTTGACTTGCCCTATTGAAGTTGGCGAAAGTCTTGTGTAAGGGTAGTCATTTTTGCTTGTCTTCACTGGCCCATTTCGAGAACAGTTTTCTTGGGATGACGTCAAGATAGCTGCTTGCCGTGGTATGTTTTTTGAGATGTTTTGCTGGTCCACCTCTGTTTGTTTCATTTTTTGTTGTTTCAGGCTTTCTTCTGGATGTAACTGAGCTAGTGAAGTTGCAAAATTAGACAACGTTGCTTGTTTATAATTAGTACGCAAGCTATTGTTTACATTTACTTCATCGTTTTGCTCCACGGCATTGCCACACGCTTTTATGGCAACGTTGCTTGATTTTTGTGTTTTGAATTGGTCCATTTTTATTTCATCAGCTTTAGCTTGCTGTAGGGTCGTGCTTATCTTGTCCACGGTGCCCCCTGGTGACTTGGCGTGCTTTTCTGGCGGTTCATCATTCAGTAACAGGGATACAAGGAGAGGATATAGACTTAAGTTTGGTATGCTTTTCTCCTCTAATGGGGTATTACTTGAAGGAACATTTGGTATTTGAGATTTCACTGTCCCATTGCGTCTCGGTAGCACGTATGCCCTACCCGAGTAATTGTACAAGATGATCAACTCTTTATCTCCACTTAGTTGTTCAAACACTGTGTATTTCTGATGCTGTACGATAATCCGGCTGGTTCCAATGTTGCCGTGAAATTCCCGACCCTTGCTCACTGTGACTCCACCTTCTCCCCAGTTTTCTTGGGGGTTGGTCCACGTTGGGTCTACGGCGCAGTCGATGCAAACTGCTGTGGTTTTCTTCAGCCCCAAAATGAGCTCGGCGTGGGCACGACATCTGGGGCAAATGTCCATGTACGGAAGGGTCCTGCGGCACTGGTCCATATCGATCACTGGATTCTGTGGACAAAATATACAGAAAAGGTTTAAGGGAAGAATATTAAGGGAAATGTGCCTGATTTATTTTCCATGTACAGTTTTTAAGCCCCAAAACTGAAACCAAACTAGTACATGGTAGATAAACTTTAAAGGTGCATTCTGTAGCCTATGGTATTGTAAGGATGTTCGTTTCTGGTCTGAGTCTGGTCTGTTTCGAGTCTGAAACATAAAATCTGAAGGATTTTAATGAGTGTCGCACTGGCAAAGTGGACAAGAAGCTACAAACGCTACAGAAAGGACAGGATGAGAGCCCTGATATGTGTGTTTATAGGTTTCAGAGTGTAAGAAAATGTATGTGTGTATAGGCACTGTTGGGCAAGTTACTTCAAAAGTGTAATATGTTATTTATGACTTGTTAGTGTCATTTCAAAGTAATTCGTTGCATTACAGTATTACTGTGTTTAAAATATAAGTCATTACACGACTACTGCAGCACTTTAAGTTACTCTCACCAAAATAACTGTGCGAAGATGCTGAACTATTGCACCATATATGAACTGAACCCTAAACAGGACTGAACCAGGACTAAACCAGAACTAAACCAGGATGAAACCAGGACTAATCTTGGACTAGAACTTGGAATCTAGGACCGCCCCTGAGAGAACCCTGCGCTCGTGGGGCAGAGTGTCCGCAAAGCGTGATCAGGCGTCAGCTGTGCTTCGCCCCATGGAGCGTTGAGTTGTGCGCCGGTCCTTTCGCCGGCGGTTACCTGACAGGCACACGTTCGGCACCTGACACTCGGAACTGTAACAATGGCGTTTCACTGCTGCTGATATCGAAGTGATTTTAACGAATTTGTATGAAGAAAAACGAAAAACCCACCACTTCAATCCAGGTTAAAAGCATTGTAACTGACATTTGTACTGAGTAAAATACCGTATTTTCCGGGCTATTAGATGCGCTCTTAAGCCTCTAACCCCATCAAAAAACGACCGCGCCCACAATCCAGAGCACCCCATACACGAATCCACTCGGGTGTCCCAGCACGACTTCAGTAAACTACAAACCCGCACCACCCGCAGAACACGCAAACACACACGGAGCAGACAGCGACCGCGAAAAACACCCACAGACTCACTCATCACTCCACGCCGACGAGGAACGGAACGGAGGAACGAACCGAAAAAGTGAGTCCAATGTGCTTTTCTGAGCCTCAACTGAACAACTGAGTCACTGCGAACACGCCGACAATCCGTTGGTCCCAGCCAGCACCCTCCCTACACGCCACAACTGAACAAAGCCCAGAGTCACCGTGAACACAACAAACAAAGTCCCACTGACCCATCCAACTGTTGTGTTTCCTTTAAAGTCCGGTGCGGTTTATTTGTGAAAAAAAGTTCGAAAATAGACCATGTAATGACAGTGTGCTTTATAATCCAGAGCGCCTAATAGCCTGGAAAATACTGTATTTCTTTTGGTGGTAAGACCCAGTAGAACTAACCAAACTTTATTTAAAGGCTCGCAGACTTCTTCCTGGGTTGGCACAGATTCCGTCTACATTTCTGCTAAGAAGAATTTAATTTCAGTCTTTACTTACTTACTTATTTGCTTAGAATGTTAATGTTTATGATGAGTAAGTGATGCGTGCAGAGGAAGTAGGGAAGGCGAATTTCACTTCAAATACATCCGAGGCGGTTTCATTAGGGAACTATTTGAAGGGGATTTGACAACACCCTTGACAGCAACTTTTCCAGCGTCCATCACGGGACATTTGATGAGCACAGACTGTATAAAAAAGTGGACTAAGCGAGTGTGACGTCTCCCACAGCGTTCAGCTCCGCTCTAATGAAGCTCGTGATGTTAACGGTTACAGGAGCCAAACTGGAGCCAGGCTTTAGGTTATAATAGGACCTGGATCATGTAGAGCGAGTTAATACTGTACGAACATTTTCAACAGATTCCTAATCAAATATTCGGTCCTGGTGTCACTGCTTTCAGGATCTGAGGGAAGTCATGGTCCTGCGCTGGAGCAGTTTGTCCAGTGGTGTGAGGACAACTACCTGGATTTGAACATTGCCAAAACTAAGGACATGGTGATTGATTTTAGACCTGCGCCTTCCCACAGTGTTAGTGTCGTCCATGGTGATGATGTTGAAATAGTGGATAGTTACAAAAATCTAGGCACCGTGATGGACAATAAACTGAAATTTGACCTAAACACTGAAAGCGTCGTCAAACGAGGGCAGCAAAGAATATATTTGTTGAGGAAACTGAACTCTTTTAATGTGAACAAAATGATTCTCAACTGTTTTTACTGTTCTTTTATCGAAAGTCTGCTTACTTTCTCGTTTATTTGCTGGTTTCAATCCTTGTCCGTGAAGGATAAAAACAAACTGCAGGATATTGTTAAAACCTGCTAAAAAATCACAGGGATCAATCTGAAGGGGCTGCACTCTTTGTGGGAGGAGCGAGTGCTGAGCAAAGCCAAGTGTCTCCTGGCTCAGCCGCTCCATCCACTGGCTCCTGATTTTATCCTGATGCCTTCAGGGCGTCGGTTTTATGTTCAGGTACGAAAGACTAACCAGTTCTCTAATTCTTTTGTGCCCTCTGCTATTAAATTGCTAAATTCTAAGAGTACACTTTGTGAATGTTGTGCACTTGCATTTGGGTCCGGTCAAGTGGTAACGGAGGGAAACAGGGGCAGATTTTTGACATTCAAATGTCTCTTATTCAGAAACTAGAGGGACTATTGAAATAAGTAAAGTATCAGAATGTAGGAAAGAGTTACACTCCAACAGGGTAAAGTTAAACCTGTGATATTCTTTCAAGTTGTTGACAAAAAATAAAAAAAACTCATGTCGGTAACGGAGGGAATGAAATATGCAGCACTTTTTGGGCAATAAATCCAAACAGTGATAACTCTTGGTTCTCACTTACATATCCTTAACAAACTGGTTTGAATATTTGCTTCATATAGTTTTCTACCATATGGTACAAGATTAGGTTGAAAAACCTCTTACTTTTTGAGTAATGAGATTTTTTATTAAGAAAGGTCATGGTAACTGATTTTGTATAATTTGTCATCTTTTTTCTTCCGAATACTTTAATATTACTTCAAAATGAAAGGAAACTTTTTTTATAAAATATGTCAGTCCTTCAAATTTTTATCATTTTAAATACATTGTTTTTGAAAAATCATGTGCCTTCATCAACAGTTCAAAGATCAAATAACACAAGATATGATGAAATACATCCATTTATTTACATGATTTGCAGATCTTTGAAATTTGGGAAATAATTTTTGTTCCATGTTTCATACATGGTCTGTTTAAAACGTATGTAACTTTAGAACCAAAAATGGTACAGAAAAAAGGTAAACAGTTTCATAAACTAGAGTACATATGTATCTGTTCAATACATTTTTATATCAGATGCATTAACTTGAATTGTTGGCCTTGTTGTTTACTTCTGCTTGACCGGGCCCAGTAGTAGATTATTATTGAGTTCCACTGGTGGACTGTAATGGACTGACCCACTGTGTGTGTTTGTGTTTGTGTGTGTGTGAGAAGTGACAACTGCTCTGAGATGCTGCTAATGAATTGCCTGATGGGATCAATAAAGTTTTCTGAATCTGAATCTGACGAGGCTCACAGCAGCAGTTCTGTATGTAAGTCAATGGGAGCCAAAGTCAGTGTGAGCTGGAGGAGCCACATGCGAACTTAAACCTTTCTATCTTCATGGAGACCAGACCAGACCAAGTTACAGGTCAGATCTGTGGAGAAGTGTAATGAGAAAATACTCTTGTTGCCTCTACGTGCAGTTTCATGTCCTTAAAAGGAGGAACTGCATTTGTGTAGGTTCAAGGGCACAATGACCCAGCAGACGTTTCCTTTCTTGCTCACTTGTTTTGACTCTGCTATATCTGCTTTGTGAGTCTGACTGTATTGTTGAGGATCCTGGGACAGTGGCTCTCGTTAAATGGAAGAAGTACAGTGATGAAAATAATCCACCACCTCTCCCTAGTTATCATCCATCTTGCCACCCAGGAGAGTGAAGCTTTTGCTCCCTAATTTTTTATGTTTTTACCTTTATTTTTTAATGTTTTATCATTGCTAGTAATGTCAGAAATAGAAAAGTAACAGTAGTTTAATTTTAACCTTTTGACATTTATGATTGGGCGAGCTGTGAAGTGTGCAACCGCTTCCTGTCAGCGCCTTGCAGCAGTTCTCGCAAATGTAAAAACAAAAATAGCGCGTGCAGGCATGTTGGTTTGACGGATTTGCATTGTGACAGGAAATCTAACAGGAACAGATGCACGAGCAGAGGAGGGGAAGAGACTCTCAGGCTACGTCCACACAACAACGCTCCTGGATTTTTTTCTTTGCGGGTTGAAAAAAATGGTTGGATTGTTGGAATTGTTGTGTTGGATCGGTAAATCTTCACGTCCACACGACAACGGAGCCCTGAGTGAAAACAACGTAATACATCTGCTGCGCCTGTATGTGGCGCTGTTAACAATGATAATAATATTTAATAATGCAAATCTCATCACCTTCTTTTAAACTTTAAGGTAATTTAGCCCATTTTAGATGTATGTATATAGCGGTTTTGTTTTTCAAAAGTTAAACATAAGTCACAGGAAGAACCCACATATTCTAGGGGTGTGCAAAAATATCAAAATATCGATATATCATATAGTTTAATGTGATGATACAGTATCGATATCGTGGGCTGAGTATTTTTTGGTATATTTTGCTAAATTATTTTATTACAGCGCTACAGTTTTGTTGCTTGTTTAGAGGGAGGAAACTCGTTTATGCAACATATTTGACATTTTCACAGTTTTGATGATTAAAATGGGCATTTTTTTATATTAACATTGCGCAGGAAACGGTTTAACAAAGACTTTTAGGATCACAGCCATGATTTAGCCATTATTTTTTACTGAACCGTATCAAATCGATTTGAAATATATCGTGTTGAATAGAAAGTGCACTGTATCGAGATATGTATCTTATCGTGGCCTATGCATCGAAGTATGTATCGTATCGGCAACTTCTTAATGATACCCAGCCCTAGTATATTCCACTGAGTCGTGTCCTTTAGTTCGACAGAAGCTGAACCGCATCAGTGCACAATAGTGAGCTGTTTTTTTCTGAGCGCTTAGTTTATCCAAATGTTAAGTTTAAGTTTCGTTTCTGTAAAATGTAAACAAATATGTACAAAGCCGTGTGGATAGGGAAGGTTTGCGGACACAGAAACGACGTGTCTGGACGCAGATCGTTTCTGATACGGTGATACGCTGATTCGTTTCAGTGTAAACATAATCTTTGTTATTGATCCGTGTGCGTAATCTGTGGTGCGTGTTGTTAGTATTGGCGTTAGCAGCGTGTCTCGGTTGCTCCGCGGGCTACACCTGTCACATTTCGGCAACGTTCTAACGGTCTGTGGAGGCCAGTTCGAGGGCTAAGGGCTTTGCTGCATCAGAGGACCCTGGCCATGACGGGATTGTGACGTCATTGTTTCCCAAAAGCTGCGGTTTGCTCTTCCACACGACAACGCAACACCGGCGTTCTCAGATTTCTCCACTCTGGAACCTGTTCTCAAAAAACTCACTGGTAACACTTTATAATAACTACACCTTATTTAGCCTTAATAAAGCATGAACAAAGACTTAATTAATAATGATTCACGCTTAGTAACTACTTAATTACTTCCTGAATTAGCACTTAACTTGCACCTAATTTGCTTGTGCTGTAAATAGTTACTCGTAAGTATTTCTTACTTAATTACTCATGAACTAACCATTTGTGTGTGCATTTGTAAATGTATATTTAAGTATATTAATTAATGATTAGTAAGCCATAAGAGAATAATTTACTAGTAATGCATTATTGTTTCTCTGGAATTTGACCAACCTTAACAAATGCTTAATAAACATAATTAGTCTTCACTTTAAAAAAGCTCTCAGAAAGACTTAACTAACAGATAACAGCTGCCTGAATTATCATTGCATTATTAGTAAATCATTCTCTCATAACTTACTAATCATTAATAAATGCTCAAATGTGTACTTAAATATGCATTTGTAAACATGCAAATGGTTAGTTCAGGAGTAATTAAGAAGTATTGAGTTACTATTTACAGCAGAGGCGAATTAAGTGCTAATTCAGGTAGTAATTAAGTAGTTACTAAGCCTGAATCATTATTAATTAAGTCTTTGTTCATGCTTTATTAAGGCTAAATAAGGTGTAGTTATTATAAAGTGTTACCAACTCAAGTTTTCGCCCACCCAAAACGCCGGCTCCGTGTGGACGAAAGACCAAAACGAATACAAACTTCACCGTTTCGACTAAAAAACGTAGTTGTGTGGACGGCCCCTGTCTCTCTTTGCAAAGACACGAAATAAACTATTCACGTTCGTTATTTCTAAAAGATAATTTTTCCAACACACGGGTGACAGACCCTCCACCAGAAAAGTTACACAGTGCATATTTAAAACACACTACTAGTTTAAGGAAAGCAATGGATTTGGCACAGGCTACTCTGAAAGAAGAAGAATCCTGCAAGTAAATGTAACTGTGAACTACCCACCTCTGTAACTGGATCCAAAGCAAGTAAAGTATAAAAACGTGCTTTTCTTGAGCAGTGCCACACCGTCCTCTCTGGTGTAGATGTTTGGTTAAAGTCCCTCAAGATAAATCGCAAAGAAAACACGCAGAGAGCTCTGTGCATGTGGTTTTATCTCAGTGGGTTCAGTGGGCGGGCTTATATGTAAATGTGTAAACCTTCACCCTTTTACAACGGAGGAAGGTGTGACTTCAAGCACCTTGTTGAAACCCAAGATTGCTTATTTAAAATTTTAACTAGCACAAAAAACTACAGTTGTGAAAAGTATCCAAAATCAGATTCATACAAAACTAGAGCAGGTATCAAAACTTAAAAAAAAAAAGGCCATTCACAGGACACAAATGAACCTTTCCTGAAGCTTTAGAATGAGCTTGAGCTGGATCAGAACAAGTATAAGAGAAACCAGAGAAACAAAATCAAAACAGAGAAAAGGAGCGCAGTGATGGTAACATTACCTTACATCAGGGGCATAACAGAAAAAGTGCAGAGGGCGATGAAAAAACACAATATCAACACACCAGTGAAACCGTACAGAAAACTCAAGACAACTACTCGTCCACCCGAAAGATAAAATAGAACCGGAGCATAAATGTAACGTCGTATACGAAACACCCTGCATGTCCTGGAATAAAACAAACATCGGGGAAACAGGAAAAAAGGAACATAGAACAGAATGCGAGAAGGAAACGGCGAAGGCGAAACACAAGAAACAAAACACAAAACAGAACAACTCAAATCGGCCGTTTCTGACGACTATAAAAGAGAGAACGAAGCAAACGTCACTGGGACAGAGGAAAACAAACATCGGCGCTGGATTAAAGAGGCAATCGAAATACGGAAACGTGCCCACGGGACTATGAACTGGGACGAGGGGGCTTTTTTACTCTCACACACCCGGGATACTGTCCTGAGGAAGTCGGACTGCAGGTGGCGCTGTCGTCCTGCCTCCACCGGAAGGAAGACAGCGCCAAAACCGGTTTAAATCAGCTGAACGACACGTCACAGCAACATCACGTGACTCTGAGGAAGACCACAGGGAGCAGTCGAAACTGTCAGGTATGAAAACAAACTCTTGGTCTGAACATAAGTATAAAAGCACATAGTCTAGTATAAGACCCTGGACCACTGAGGGATGACACAGATTTACATGTGAACAAAGTTTCGTTTCTGTAAAAGGTAAACAAATAGGCGAGTTTCATTGTTGACAAAAGCGCACGTTGCATGCTGGGAATTATTTTGGTCGGCGGCAAGAAACACTAAATCAACATGATGGACGGAGCGAGAAAGCACGTAAAGGGTATTGATCCCGGTTATTTATCCACTCTATGGCAGAGGACCCAAGACCATTTGACCAGAAATTGGTCATAAGCATCGATGGAGCCAAATCCCCCTTTTCAACCCCGACAAAAGGTGGACAAAACCAAATTTCTGGTCGGAATCGCCAACTACCTGGACAAATATTCACTTCGGCGATATCCTGAAACTCCTGGACCATTCACAGCAGAAAAGATGAAAACCTCCAAGAGTCTCGATGTGTTGTTGAACTTGTTGGAGTCCACGGTTTGTTAGGATCTTCTACGTTTGCTCTGGGAATGTTTGAAAGTCGTTTAATTCACCGTTAGTGGTTCTTTTCACTCAGAATACGAAAAAGACATTTTCCTTCTTCCGTGCTTCTATTTGTGCATCCGATAATGCAGCAGGAATTTACCATTATCGGGGATAAATACTCGAGGTTACGCACTGTGTTTGACGCTATCCTGTTTCTTGCCTCTGAAGGCTGTACCAAGTGGTGAAGTTTCTTGAGTGCATCACATGTGCATATTAAACATTGAATTTATATATTTGTTTGACTATTACACATTGAGTTGTTTAACCACTGGAATCTTATGTATGTTTAAAGGCACCACTGTGTGAAACGTATGTTTTTAAGGTCATCTTTTGCAGATATAGGTTGTGTCCTTTTAAGGAAATTCATTGCAGAGCAGCAGCAGTGGAGATGGTTCGGCCTGGTACGAATCCAAACAAACTGGTGATTTACATTTGGCTGCTGTCAACCCCCTTAACCTAAAGGAATGCAGAGATACTCCAAGGAAGATTCAAGGCGTTACCTGTTCAACATATTATTTGCATATTCATATGAATGTCTATAAAAATCTGGGTTAAGGTATTCAGAGGCAGTCAGTTAGGGACAACGATCTGACCCAGAGCTCTGTATTAGAATTGTATTGAATAGGGAATAAATTCTTTTTGATTTTAATTGATCGATCCCAGTGGTTATTTTTAAGAGAACACGCTTAATGGTTTTTGAAGATACCTAACACCTCCAAAATATTTCCCAGCATGCAACGCGGGCTTTTAATAACAACGACGTCAGCTGAAACTCGCCTACATGCTCAAAGCTGTGTGGGTGGGGAAGGTTTGCAGACACAGAAACGACGTGTCTGGACGCAGGTCGTTTTTATCTGAGTGGGTTCAGTGGGTGGTCTTATATGTAAATGTGTAAAACTTCACCCTTTTAGAATTGAGGAAGGTGTGATTTAAAGCACCTTGTTGAACCCCAAGATTATTACTTAGGTAAAACTTTAACTAGCACAAAAAAATAAAGTTGTGAAACGTGTCCAAAATCAGAACGAGTTTCAAAACTAGAGCAGGTATCGTACCCTTAATGACGTCTTTTGACACCTCCGCTGTGTCACCAAAGACATGATTTGACGACCATTAGGAACAGCTCGGTTTTTCACATTTAAACAGAGACTGTGATCGGTGGGGGCCACTACAACCCACACTAGACTGACCAATAGGATTCAAGGATATGTTTTCGCCGATTTTTCCCAAGTTAATCGAAGTTGTGACGATTGTAGCTTCCGGAAAAAACACAACACGAAACACGTGCAATAGAAAGATCGCGCTACAGCACACAGTTTTAGAAATAATGAGGAGCAGATGTATTTTATAGATAAGTTTAGAGAAAGTGACTTTTATAGATTTCAAAATGATGATGAAGTTGATTATAAAGTGGAAAACAGCGATAGCGACGGACTTTCTGACTTTCTTATGAAGGTGAGAATGCCGCTGATGCGTCTGTGTGGAGTCCTGCGATATCCCAACAAACTATCTGAGCTTTATACTCGATTATGAACCAAAATTGTCCCGAAATCTGGATGTTGCTCAGGCCAGTCCTTTAAAATATTTCAGTCTTTTTTTCTAAGATGCGATGTATAACAGAATCGCTACAGAAAAAACGCTTATGTGGAGCTCTGCACACGAGAAAGTAACGAAGATGACAAATACTGGACACACACTGACGAGGAAGAGTTTTATTATTATATTATTATATTATAATAAGATAAATGAGTTGAATAAGTTAAATGGAAAAAATGAATCAGGTCCACACAGGTGAACAACAGGTAAAAACAGGTGAACACATGACTTTACTGTATCTGGTGATATGAAATCTGTTTAAATACTTTGACAAAGTATATTTTTTAATTTTTTTTATGAATATAGTACTCAGAACATGCAGATATCAGATGCTGAATGTAGTTTTTTTGTTTTCTATTTTGCACCTGACCAGGTAAACTCTCATTTTCAGTGAGCTGTTATACACCTGTAAATGAGTTGAATCACATTTAAACATCCATAAATGAAGAGTTCAGAGTCTAAGGTTTCCAGAGATACAAATATGTCTGTGTTACAATTAAGTTCATGAGTGTCAAAAATCATTTATAATCACTCGTGGAAGTCTGTTTTCTTTTATGCATGTTCCTAGTCGGCGTCCAGGGGGGAAAGAGTTAAAGAGTTTTCCAAATGCCGTATATTCCTTCTTTGTCTTGTTATTATTATCAGTATCAGGGTATTTCTCACGGGAAAACCAATTACTCATTATCTGTTATCTTCCGCAAGGACAGTCCTCCCTACAGCAGCTGGCACACACACACACACACACACAATATACACACTTTTGTTCTCTGTGTTTTTGACTGTGATAGAAAAATGTAACCGCCCATTTATTCTTGTAACCTGTGCGATTCAATAAATACGTGGGGTTGGACGGTGGCTCTAGCAGCGCCTCTGTCCCTCGCCGCGAGTAAAAACCCTGAATTCTGCCTTCTGAGTTTCTTCGTGTTAATATCTCTGTTATTTTCTGACAGTATCGATACTTTCCTGAAGCTTTAGAATGATCTCGAGCCGGATCAGAGCACACAGACGAGTATAAGACCATGGGCCACTGAGGGATGACGCAGATTTACACGTGAATAAACATCTCAGTCAGACTGGGCAGCCTCTGTGACCCTGAACGAAGTTTGTTTTCCTGACTGTTATGATACAAAGCTGCAGAAACTGAACCTTCCCAGGGTAAAACTATTTGCTAAAGATAACATTTCTGCTACTAAAAAGACACTGCACCTTTGTTTAGAGCAGGATGTCAAACTCAAATTCACAAATTAAAAAAACTAAATATTTACTTGAAGAATTTCTGCATGTTTTCTCTTCTTTGAGATATGTAATGTTAAACCTTTTCTTATTAAAATAAATGTTTAATAATAGTCAGTGTTGGAAATTGACTTTTAAAATGTATTCCCCTACAGATTACAGATTACATACCCCAAAATGTAGTTTGTAACGTAATCCATTAAATTACTTAAAGTGAGTAATGTAATCTGAATACTTTGGATTACTTGATTTGCTGTAGAGAAGCAAAGACGAGGAAATCATAACAAAAGATGTTTTATCTGATAAAAGAAAATAAAAAAGCCCAGACTTTACTGAAACCGTATTAAAAATATTATTGATAAAAGAGGAGGAGACACGGTCCGCGCAGCATGATTTAGTCCTGTTAAATCCTGGTTTAGACCTGTCCTGGTTTAGACCTGGTTTTAGTCCTGGCTTATACCTGGTTTTAGACCTTGTTTTAGACCTGGTTTAGACCTGGTTTACCTGGTTTTAGACCTGGTTTTAGACCTGGTTACCTGGTTTAGACTTGGTTTAGACCTGGTTTTAGACCTGGTTTATACCTGGTTTTAGACCTTGTTTTAGACCTGGTTTTAGACCTGGTATTAGACCTGGTTT